AAATTCTCATGACCCTACAAGGAAGAACCAAACCTTATTGTTTTCCATCTCCTTCCCTGGCATACAGTCAATGAATACTTCTTGATTTGGCTTAATGAATTCATTGATCCCCAAACCCTAAAAGTGTCTAAAGCTATGGTTCGCAGAAATGAGGCTAATGATGCAAATACTTGAATTTCTGTTGTGCTAAACCTTTGTTAAAATGACTGTTTCATTCCAACCTTGAATGACTGCTACAATGACACTGTAAGTTTCAACTTTTCTTTCCAGATCAATATTTATTTTGATTATCTTTTACAATTATTATAGGTATTGATTATGAATGCTTTGAGAATGTTAAAACAGATGGGGAAGTTTCTGCACAACTTGCTTCTACAAGTAATAATATTATTAATATAATATCATTTGAAATTTTTTTACAAGAATGTAGAAACAATGCTATACAAAATGTTGATGAATTCTTGCTCCACGAAAATCTAATTCTGAAAATCTACTTCTAAATCAACTCAATGAACATTCATGTTTTGTAGGTTCTGATGATTTCATGTGTATGCATGAGTTAGTAGTTCAAACAGCAAAGCGAAAAAAAATCCAAGTTCATCCATCTTAAAAGTTGTGGTAAGGAATTCGACATAAACAGAGCGTATGAGCGTTTTGCCTTTTTGAAGAGTTTGGAACAACATAAAAAACAGCAACGGCAGTATGAAAGCATTTTGAGGGGAGAGACTGAAAAACTTGGTGAAAGCACATATGACACAGAGTCAGCCGAAGTACTTACTACAGTCGAAGATGACCTTTCCAGTGATTGCGAAGACGATTAAATATAAATAAAAGTTATTATTCATTATATTATCTTCTGGGTTCTTTTCATTTGTACAAAATCACATGCTAATATTTCTTTACTTTCATTCAACCCGTTAGCCTAGGAGCCTTTTGACACTTAGCACACTTTGAGGTTGGTCTAAATTAAAGCGATCTAAAACCGATCGGAGGACGTTTCATTAAGGCGAGAGACAATTTACTCGTGCCATATTAAAAAGGTGTATTCTGCCTAACATGCTGCATGCTGAACAATACATATCATAAGAAACTGAATTATGTTTGAGCATGCATAAAACTACATAATTTCATAAATGCTAATCTTGCCATGACCATTGGGTGAAATAGTATATAGATACTAAAAGGCTGGCTGTTGAGTCATCGACATGTCAAACTTATTGACGTGATAATTTTGCGAATTTTTTCCAAAATTGTGGCGTATAGTGTACCATAACCAATCTCAAAGAGCGAAGATTGGCTATCTTGACAAAATTAAATTATACAGGTAAATGCCCTCTGATAGATAGTGAGGAATGGATTAAGGAGATGTTACACGGAGCAGTTCTCAACGACAATTCGGAATGTCGAACCAATAAAATTTCGAATGACTGCCATTTGCATTGCGAGTTGTCATTGCAAATTGTTCCTCGTATTAACGCCATCACAAAGGATTTTGATAAGTAATTACGTCATCGAATGCGAAAGAATAAGCCATAGCAATTAGCCCCCCCCCTGACTATACTATTGAAAACATGGCGGCAATATCTCATGAATATGGTAATCTAGATTGGCCGCAATTAATATGTAAAATAGGCATTAAAGATGTAAACAAAGAACTAGATAAACGTTTCAATTCTGTGTTTGGGATACTGCGAGATATTGCGTCAGTATGTAACAGCGATATGTATTTAACTGAAAGAATTAATTCGCTGAAAGCAACATGGTTTCCAGCACGAGATTAATACGAAAGAGGCGTGCTTCATTTGGCGTCGCTGAACGGCAAGACTCGACTTGTTCGCTGTCTCGTGTATTCTGGCTGTCCAATAAATTTAAAAGACGGCATCGGACAAACACCTTTAACCCTAGCGCTGCATATGGGTCATACAGTTACTGCCAAAGTTCTACTTGACTGTGGTGCGTCAGCTCGTGAGCAGTTTTTTCTTGACACTATTTCCCCCATAGAGATTGCTAAAGTTAAGAAAGACGAACTTATGATCGAGTTGATTGAGCAAAAAATTAGAGAAGAAGAAGAAATTATTAATCATATGAAATCAAATTTTAATAAACCAATTTCAAACGAAAGCACAGATATGGAAACTAGTAGCACTAGCAAGCCCTCAAATGTTGCAAGAAAATTAAACATCAACGTTGGTGACCAAAAAAACACTGTACTTGTACAAGGCTGTGCAAACCGATGCCCAGATGTATATGGATGCCACACACCTGGTGGAGGAGATTTCCATTGTCGTGGATATGTAAATGAATGTATTGCACGCATTGCTGGTCCAGGGGGATTTTGGCATGTAGTGGAAAACATAATGAAAAGGCCAACTGTTAATCCATCATCATTCAAGTCTAAGTTCAAGGACAACAACTATAACAACAACGAGGAGGCACTTTTGGATTATGACGATGGTCTTTCAATTGCCATGATCAAGTCTTTCCGAAAGTCACCCTGCTTTCCTGATGCATCCGAGTTGGATCAGTGTTTGAAAGACAGTAAATCCCATAACAAAATATTGATTGATAGATTTAAAGTATGGGTGAAGCAACAAGAGGAACAGGATGCCATATTTAAATAACAATCCCAAGTTGTCAACCAGTTAATGCCAATAACAAGATCGTATAAGGAATCTGTGAGGTATGTAAATTGATTTTTGTGTAGAATTTGGCAAATGAACCCACTGCTTCAATCTGGGACAAATCCTGTTGTAAGACATGACAAATTTCCTATTTGACCTACACACATAAAGCAATTGACCAAAATAAATGTCCGCCCGACTAGTGAATTCGACTCGATATTTGATTTACTAAATAGTGCTGCTTTACACAAATTGAATATTATTTAGGTGGGAAAGCAGAGAAAATTGTAACATATTTATGCAAAAATTGCCTGCGTGCAGCATGACTTTAAATGGAGCTCCCCATTTATGCAAAAACTGTTAAACAGAAAGCGTTGCAATTGTTTTGAAGTAACTTTTGTATGTTAACTTATTGAACGCAAGCACTCCCCTTGACAAGTAAAATATTCTGGCATTAGACAGAGAAAGATACTAAAGTAGGGTGCTTCATGGTGCGATGCAACTTAGTGGGTTAAACATGCATTTTACAGAATACTTACATTTAACCAAATGAAAAATTGACACAGCAGTTTCAAGATTATATCTGTTATTAAAAAACTCATTATGAGGAAAATACAAACGAAATGAATGTTTAATCAATGTTCGCAAATTGCATAAAAATTTGTCCTGATTTACATAAACTTCTGCTTTGATTTTCTCGGCTTTGACAATGTATATAATTACTTTGCCAATGAACTCATAAGATGGGTAATTTTTTAAGCATGTTAATACCTTCGCATCCAATCTTTATCTGATATACAAACTCTCGCCTTTGGCTCAAGTGAAGTCTGTATATCAGATAGAGGTCTGCTGCTCATGTTTTAACTTGTATTAATCTTATTAATAACAGCATATACTATAAATACAAACAATTCTTTTGGTAAAGTGGTGATTTTTTTATTAGGCATGGAAATGGCCATGCAATTGAAGGTGTCTGGATGCTCTGCCCTGCTCTTTTTTGCCAAATGGGCAAAATAAATTATAGAGATGAGGCATTTACACACATTGTCAATGCTACTGCCAAATGGCCATATGCGTATCGTCTTATGTACCAGAGAAATAAAACTGTTAATCTTGAAGGTAAGCAAGGAAAGCAACTGGCTGGGGACGAGTGGGTTGAAGACTACCTTGTTAGACCAGTCAAGCAGTTTACAAGTGCTCAAAGTTCATTTTCTATGGTTGAACTAATGTCATGTAGTGTTAACCTACTGGAAATGAATCGCAAGATGTACAAGGCAAAGGAAGCATTTGATATTCATCATACAAGAAAACATAAGAAGCCATCATCTTTGTATGATCAAATCAAAGTAGCTCAGTTTGTAATTAAAGAAAGATAGTTTGAATGCGAACAGAGAAAAGATGTTCATCAATACTCGTGGGCTGGTAAGACAGTCAAGGAAGGGCAAACTGTACCCAAAAAGTGTATAGATGCTCTATCTAAAGGGGCGGAGAAAGCAAGTGAGGAATTTGTACCATTTTTACACAGAAAGTTTCCAATTGAAATGTTATAAACTGTGACATAGTTGATTATGAGATGCAAAATATGCACATGATACTGACTATTCATGCAGATTTGTTGCATGAAATTACCTTGAAGATACTTTAGATAATGTGATAGTTTTTCTGATGTAAAGATTTAGTTTGTTTAATATGGTAAAGACAAATGTACAATTTATTTAAAAATGAAATGTGATCTATTTACACTTACTAATATATTTGGTCATGCTATGCAAAAAATTTCAGTGATCATAGACTGAAAACAATCAGTTTCCAAAGAAATGAATGATTTAAAATTTGCATAGCATGACCAAATTGTCAGGCTGTCTTGGCCACTGGATACAAGTACTTTGAACTTGCACCATTTTAACATAAAGTATTACAATCTATTAAGATTTTTCATACCGAGATACAGTTACTCTCAGAGCTAGAAGGTCATGTGCTTTGGGACCTAAAACAAGTTGTAAGTAAAGACTTCTACCTTATTTCTGTGGTATTTCTGCTAAAATACCAAAATATATAAGGCTATGCAAAAACTTGTCCAGTAAAACTGTTGGTATGAAACGTTTTTCAAGGCAACCAAAATTTGACAACACATCCAATTCTTGTTCCTTTATAATTTTTTGCCGACTTCTTGCCAAAAAAAGTTTCAAAGTGTTGCATATAAATACACGTCCTGTCAATTCTACTATTGTCTGGACCACCTTCAAAGCATCTGATGTCCCATCTGTGACATAGAATTCACCACGGTTGCAACAATTATCACAAAATTTAATTACTCCACACATGAAGTCCTGTAGACTTTCACCAAAGAAAATCATAAGACTTCTGTGACGACATTGCACTGGGTCTTCCAAAAAGTTGACTAACTCGTTCAATGTTGAAACTTGATCATTTGGGTCTGCTTCTCTTTGAAAAAGCTTGACAAGGGCATTTTTGTCACCATAACTATAGAATAAAATACACTTCGAGGGCAATTTATCTCGACCAGCACGTCCGCATTGTTGATAATACTCCTCTAAGCTTGTTGGCATGCGTGCATGGATAATGTATCGGACATCTTTTTTGTCAATCCCCATTCCAAATGACGAATTTGCAACAATAACATGACACTCGTCGTTGAACCATTTGGTATGGTTACTCACTCGAACATCTTCAGATAACTGCCCATGATATTTAACAGATTCCACCCCCCTTTTCAAAAGTTCCGCATGAACTGTTGCAACATCTTTTGGCAAAACACAATATATAATCCCACTTTCATTTTTATGTTCCAAAATAAAATCCTTCACTTCATCGTAAAACTTGTTTGTTCGTTCTTTCACTTCTAAGAAAAGGTTTTCTCGAAAAACTGATGTTCTCAGAACAGTTAAAGCACTGAAAATCGTTTTCAGTTCAGCCTCTAGCTTACCAGTTACTGTTGCACTCAGTAATAACTTGGGAACTATGATATTAGCCAGCTTCTCACACACTTGTTTATAAACAGGGCGAAATGTATTTCCCCAACTGACAATAGTATGTGCCTCATCAAACACAATTCTTTCAAGCTTCTCTTTCTCAATCAACTGATATAACGCATTAATAAGTTCACCCTCTTCCAGCATTTCAGGAGTAACCACAACAACTTTAAATTCTGGTAAGTTAAGCAGCTGACTCTCTTGTACTTCCTTCGGGATGTCCCCAGTAGTAAATTTACACGAGGAAATCTTCAAACGTCCACATGAATCAATTATGTCATCTATAAGTGACTTTGTAGGAGCAATAACAAACGTTGTCTTTTCGGATATAACAGCAGGCAAGAGATAAGTCAAAGAGTTACCACCACCTGTCCCCACAACGGTTAAAACGTCATCGCCTTTCATTGTGGCAACTATTGTTTCTCTTTGTAAAGGACGAAACCCAGTAAAACCAAAATAGTGCTTCAAAGTATTGTCTATAAGTTCGTCCCTTTCTAAATCAACAATACTTGGTGTGTTCACCGTACTTGAAGGGTCATCATTCAAATCGTAACGAGATGTAGTGTTTTTTAACACAAAATTCAATTCAATAGATGGTATGTTATCATGTAGGATAACATTATAAATATACTTATCGCTGTTTTCATCCAGAACTTCGATTTCGGATGACATAACAGAATCCGATGATAAATATCCAAATTCGTTCAAACAAAACGTAAACTTCGTCGCTGATTCAAACGGTGAACTAGCTTGAACCGCTAAGTTTTCATTACGCCATGTAACTGTAAAGTTTTTGGCTGTATCAGGCCACAATGGGGGAACGGAAGACAGCTTTTCTAACGCGTTTACTAAGAACCACATATCAGTATCACAACATTTGTCCGCCATATTTTAGGTTTCACTTTGCGACTTTACTCTATGTCCCTGCCAAGTCGTTACATTTTATCCCTACTCCACTCCTACTAGGATTGAAATTGCGTGCGCGGACTATATGCGCAGATCTCATTGTATATGTCGATTTTTGGCAGGCAACTCTCCCTTCTCTCGTTCCTCGCCTCGCCCCTTTCCCGCCTCTCAATTTTTCCGCTCCAGGCCTTTTTAATTTACGCTCCAGTGTTTATTATAAATATCATATCGTATTTCAGAACTAGTATTTCCTTGTATTTTCTACGTTCCTGATAAATCGTTTATGGTTAATAACGTTGCAGAACTACACAGTTGCCTGCGGAGGAGGCTAGTCAAATAGCTATTTATGACCTTTGAGAGGTCAAGCGGTGTCATAATTCATTATATTACTCAATTTGTCTCGAACAATGTAAAGTAGCCATACATTTAGCCGACCATAACTTCGGTCCCTTTGGACATATCTTTTTCGTAATAGTCTTATTCGAACCGGAATCCAAAACACTATTTAGAGTGTTATTTTCAAGCTTGTGTCTTCAGATTTACATCTTTTATTTCGGTATTACAAAATATTTATATTTTTAGTTGGCCCGCAAAACCGAAATACAATTGCAAATTGAATCATCAAAACAAAGCAAATCATCGTCAGTCTTTATTAGCTTCGGATAGTTAGGCTTGCCGAGCCCCGGCAACGAAAAAAGTTGCCTCTCGTAATCCTCTGTTCTACAATGATCTGAGCATATAGTCGAAGTCTTTGACGGCACAAACAAATGCTTTGCGCATACAAAATCAACCCATACTTTTCTTCGTCTTTTAGCTTTCCGCGTGTTCGTCATTGAAGTATGGAATATTGTGTAGACTTATTCCATCTTTTAAACATGATTTATTGGTACAGTTAGCTGCAACACAGTAAAAAGGCATATCTTTTTCGATCACAAATCTACCTATATATCCGCCGAGAGTTAAAAGTACTAGTATATAGTGATGGGCGATACCGAGAACTCGGTATTCGATACCAGCGATACCACAAACAGCGGTATCGATTACTGACGTGGTATCGTTCGATACTTGCACCCTTTTTTAAACGATATGTTTAATTTCACTTCTTGGTTGAATAAGACTTCATGAACCACTAAAATAAGTCTTAATATTCCAAATGTGGTGCGCCAAGTCATGTATACAAAATATTTAGTTACGTTTCAGGCTTTTGGTTTACATATAGCTTTATTTAGGTTACATACATTATTAAATGTAAAATGTTTTTCCGCTGACCGGCATGTATCGAAAGTAGCCGATACTAGAAATTTAAGTACTCACTTCCGGTATCGAAAATTGAAATTTTGTGTTCATTTTGGTATCGAAATAGGTATCGGTATTGGCCGATACCGATCTTAAAAGTATCGGTATCGAATTAAAAATGCTGGTATCGCCCATCACTACTAGTATAGTCTAACCTGAAGTTCAGGCCCTAATTTGAAATAGGGCTTGACACAAAACCTGTCTAGACCGTGGGACGCCCACATGTTATTTTTAGACACAACATGCAATATGATTGACAAGTGTTGTAAATTTCGTTACACAAAAAAATTATATTCTCATGAACATGTCCGCAGAGTGTGCATTTTGCTTTTTAATTAAACCTAAAAATTCAAGACCGGTACTTTTATATAATTAAGAGTCAGTTTCTCTATTTAACCGAACAGCAAACAAAGATTTAATTATAGTCAGTTCTGTGCACGGCTTGACTGCCAAGCTTTCTCAAGATTTCAACTTGCTGGACGCGGATATACTCTAACGGGCTAACAACAGCAACAATGAAATTCTCAATCGTACCACGAAGAAGGCGATGTAGCTCAGAAAACAACGCCGGTAGGACCTGATCTGATTAAAAATAAGACTTTTGCCAGCGAAGCCAGTTGGCAGAACATCTTGGCTGTCAACAACAAGCTTTCGAATACATGACTAGTTTGGCTGTTCTTTCAGCGTTGTGTGTCCAAAATTCGTCAAAGATTTTGATAAAGCCCTTTCAAAATACTGTTTGTTTGATTTATTTTCTGCCATAAAGCATAAAAGAAAAGAAATTCGAAGAAATCGATAATGGAATTTGTTACGTGCGTTTGACCTTTATATTAAGGGAGTGGTCATTATTTATGGGGAGGGGGGGGGTTGGGAAATGGGGAAAATAAGGATTGAAAACTTTTTTGACCCTTCCTCCAGACTGAAGGCAAACTTTTTGTGCCTCCCCCCTCATAAAAGTAGAAACTTTTCTGACCCTTCCCCCCCAGTGTGGATTGAAAAATTAACAGCAATGAAACAGGTGTGTGTTGCAGGTAAAGTTAGATATCAGGACAATCTGTTTAATCTAGCTCATGCCGATGTTTTACCTTGGTGAATATGATTCAACCATATATGATTAAAAATATATATATTATGTGTTACTACATTGCAATGCAACATTTGTCCAACCATAACCCTAACCCATGACCCGTCTTCATACAGCGAAATGATTTGAACACGGGGTTTTTATAAAAACTTGTCTGGGGGGGTGGGCATCTACAAAAACGGATCATACTATATTGAGTGTGGAGAGGTGACAGATGGTTGTTGGTGACAAAAAGTTTGGTGTGGTATCGTATGTACTAGTAGGGGGGTCTGGGGGTATTTTCCCCCATAAATTTTTTTGTATTTTTCCACCCCTAGAACTGAAATGTGAGCATTTTCTGAAACAGATTTTTGGATATACAGCGTTACATTGTGCGTTGATAGACCGAATCTGATCAGTTAAGTGTACTTGCATGGCATGTTTATGTAAATACCACAACTGGGTCACGGGACGACACTTATTTCAAGAGGGGGAATATGTTAAGATGTACTATTAAGCTGTAAATGTTATGTACAATTAGTTAGGTTGTGACGTAGGTGGACAACTGACAAAATGACGGGATATCGTATATCATACGCATGGATTTGTAGTCTGAAGTCAGATATAGAAAAGTAAAAAGTGTATAACCACTATATTGGATTTTAAAGTGATACTAATAAAGATTCTGAGCACAACGTGATATATATATAATTTACAAGGACCTGTAGCAACGAGGCTAACATTTACGTCACAGCTCCGTCAAATCATATGTTGATGATTCAAAGATGTTCTTGTCATTTCGTGTTAAAAAAGTGACTGACACAAAAGAGTACCTTCAGGAAGATCTCAGCCGAGTAGCAAAGTGCTGCTCTGAACTTCATCTACTTATTAATCCGAAGAAAACCAAATATTTACTTATCGGAACGCAACAACAATTGCAAAATCTTCCCACAGATATGTGCCTAAATTTTGAACATGGTCCAATACCACGATACGATACGAATGGTAAATTTCATAAATCTACCATCTACCATTGGTATTGTTGTCGATTTGTGTCTATTTTACAGTGCATCCGTACCAGTGGTACGGTTGGTAAGATAGGGTTGCGGATGGTGAAAGTAAGTTTACCA